GGAGTCATTAGATTATATAGGGCGTTAGAGTCGAGTCCCAGTGATTAAACCCAGGTGGCTTTATAAGAAGAGGGAGAGAGACCAGAAACATGTGCACCTGAGTGTCCTTGCTGTCTTTTTGATACTAGGGATTGAACCCAGGGGCATTCTACCCCTGAGCTATATCCTTTGCCCTTTTTAAAATTTTAATTTTGAGACAGAGTCTCACTGAATTGCTGAGGCTGGCCTCAAACTTGCAATCCACTTGCCTCAGCTTCCTGAGTCACTGGGATTACGGGTATGCACTACTGCACCTGGCTCCTATTTCTTTCTTTGTGATACTCTGTCCCACTTCAGAACTCCGCCAGCAAGAAGTCATCACCAGATGTGGACATTGTGCCTCCAAAACAGTGAGCCCATTAAATTTATTTTTAAAATTTCCCTTCCTGGAGACCCTCATTGTTATACAACATACATGTATGAAGATGTGAGAAAAAATAGCGTTACCCTAGATGAGGTAGAGAGAAGTGATGGGAGGGGAGGGGAGGGGATGGGGAGATAGGAAGGATAGTAGAATGAAACAGATATTATTATTACTGTGTGTATATATGTGACTGCATGACGAATGTGATTCTATAACCTGTATACTCAGAAAAATGAGAAATTATATCCCATCTGATTCAAATGTATGTCATGGTCTTTGTACTATCATGAGTAACTAATTAAAACAAATAAACAAATTATCCTTCCTCAGGTGTTTTGTTCTAGCAATTTAAAAAGGACTAATAAATGATTTAAAAAAATAGTCTTTACCACAAATAGTGCTGGGACAACTGGATAACTACATGTCCAAGAAAGAAGGTAGACTCTTTCCTAACACCATACTCAAAAGATAGCTCAAAATAGATGAAAGATCTAAATGTAAGACTAAAAATATAAAACTCTTAGGAGAACACAAAGGGGTAAATCTTCTGTGAACTTGAACTTGGCAAAGTATTCTAAGGTAGGAAACCAAAAGCATAAGCAATGAAAGAAAAAATAGATAAATTGGACTTCATCAAAATGTAAAATAAAAAAAATTGTGTTTCAACAGATGCCAAGAAAGTGAAAAGACAACTCACAGAATGGGATAAATATTTACAAATCATGTATCTGATAAGGATCTTGTACTCAGAATATATCTAAGAAAGCCTACAACTCAATTAAAAAGAAAACTTAATTTGAAAATGAGTAAATGATTTAAATATACAGTTCTCTAAAAAAGATTTAAAAATGGTCAATAAGCACATAAAGATGATGGACACCAACAGTCATCAGGAAAATGCAAATTAAATTACAATGGAGAAAAAACCCACAATGCGATACAACTTAATAGTATGGCTAGAGTCAAAAGTCAGACAACAAGTATTGATGAGGATGTGGAGAAATTACACTGGTGGTGTGAATGTGAAGTGGAGCAGCTGCTTTGGAGAACAGTCTGGCACTTCCTGAAATTATTCAACATAGAGTTTCCATCTGGCCCAACATTTCCACTCGGAGGTACATAACCCAAGAGAAATGAAAACATGTCTACACTGAAGTTTGTATACAAATGCTATTGCAGCACTGTTCATGAGAGTCAAAAGATGGAAACAATTCAAATGTTCATCAACTGATGCATGAAGAAAATTGTGGTATAGCTATACAATGGAATATTATTCAGCCATAGAAAGGATTGAAATACTGATACAGCTGTATCCGTGTGGATGAACCTTGAAAACATGCTAAATGAAAAAAGCTGGTTACAAAAGACCATATCCTATATGGTTCTGTTTATGCAAATTCAAAATAAGGAATCTATATGGACAGAAAGTAGACTGATGGTTCCTTGCAGTAGGAACAGAGGTGGGTGGAGATCCAGGAGTTTTGAGAAGAGGCAACAACTAAAGTTACAGGGTTTATTATGAAGTGCCGAAAATGTTTTTAAAAGACTGGCAATGATCACACACATCTGTGAATATACCAAAAACCACTGAGTTGTACAGTTTATTTTTTTTAATTGTGTACTGGAGGTTTAACCTGGGGGCACTTTACCATGAACCACATGCTCAACCATTTTGATTTTTTTTTTTTTTTTGAGACAAAGTCTCGCTAAGTTGCTTAGGGCCTTGCTAAATTTCACCCTCCTGTTTCAGAGTCCTGAGTCTCTGGAATTACATATGTGACCACTGCACCCAAAGAGTTGTACACTTTAAATGGAAGTGAAATGTATCTCAATAAAGCTGTTAAAAATCCAGGAAAATCCTTTACTAGCAGAGAAGTTGGGGACGGGTATCAGCCACAAGACACAACAAAGATATACTGGACTTGGAGAAAGAGGAGATGTGAAATAATTTTATGACCCAAAAGCAACAGAAAAATTCCTGGGTAAAACCTTGCAGACCCTTCCAAAGGGGTGAACTCCAGAGCCACAGCGGCATCATGTGACGCTTTGTGCATGTGCCACCCTAAGGACTCACAGAGTCACTTCTGGTCCTGATGGCTCCCCTGGTGGGAATGGACGTGCTAGAGTTTATGCTGTACAACATCTTGCAGTGCAGAAGGCAGCAGTTCCCACATCAGGCCAATTCTTGGCTACCTCTTCAAACATGGAGAAGAAATTCTGATAAGAGTCTTTCCAGGGGCTGAAGGTATAGCTCAGTTGTACAGCCCTTGCCTAGCAAGCTCAATCCTGGGTTTGGTCCCCAGCACCCCCAAAAATCAAAACAAAAAGTCCTTCCAGGAGTGCTTACAGTTCTCTTATTTTTTTAGGTGACTGAGCTCACCTAAAAAGGTGGAAGGAACTGGTTTCTTGTTTTTATGTGCATACATTACAGGAAAGTTTAGCTTTTCATGTCCCACTGCAGCTGTGTTGGGAGAATCCGAACTTGTAACAGTTTCTGAAAGAATGTTATTTCTATGGCTACTGGACAATAAGCCACTGATAGTGAAGAATGAGCAAATAGAAGAATTTCTCCTACTAAAAAATTCTGCCAATCAAAAGAATAGCAGATGAGTTTGGAAAAGAACTGAAAGCCATAAACAGGAGGGAAAAAAAAAAAACTACAAAATTCCTGATTTTCTGTTCTTATCCTTCAAGGGAAAATTGGAAAGACTGTATGGAGATTAAAAATGACCACTGAATCACAAGCTCTAATGAAGGCAATGAATACAGATGAGTTAAAACCAGAAAAGCAAAGTAGAAGATAAAATGTAGAAATAATTCCAGAACTGAAAAGAAAAAGAATTGGGGTGTAGGGGGGAAAGATGCAAGGTGCTGGGTGCATAAATTGGAAATATAATTTATATAAAGTAGAAATTTCAGAAGTTGGGAAGAAAACAGTTGAGAAGAAGCAATAAAGAAAGAAAATTTCCCCAAACTAAATATAGAGACCCCTCACTAGTCCCTCATACTAATCTTGTGAGATAGGAAGATGGGAATTTTCATTCCTTCATGATAAAAAAGAATCTGGGATAACAGAGAAATGGGGGATGGGCCCACCCTTCTTACCCTGATGTCAAGTGTGGCCAGTCAGAGCCCTGATCTCTGACTTCAGCAGTTCTCTAAAATTTTAAACCTTAGTAACACATGTTGGGTTATGTGTTACTAAGGTTTAAAATTTTATCAGCAATAAATTCATCTTTCATTTAATTCAAATGATGCTCTGAAATGATAGGGCTATAATATTATGAAACCCTGAATCTGTAAGAACATGCATTAGACTTAAAGGGTCAAAATCAGCTTTGAGGATAGATTATCTCCAGAAAAAAGCGAATCTCTCCCATGATCGTCCCTTCCACAATCCTCTCAATAATTCCACGGCTTAATGAAGGGCTCATGTGAGAAAATCTCTTCTCTCTAGAAATGATTCTTTAAGCAATTGCCAAGTAATTTTTCATGACTTTTCTGGCTGTGAGTTTAAGATCACAGCCATATGTGGGAAAGAGGAGCAGTCCACATGCAGCCTCAGCATGTACCCTTGCTGACAGAAAACGGTCATGTCCACCAGCTAATCTGGAATGCCAGCTCTGCCAGGAACGAGCACACCGTGTGCACTGAGGCAGACTGAGGCTCAAGATCAGGATCTGCCTCAGAGCAGACTCCTTGGCACGGCATGTGCCAAATGCTAATGCTTGGACTAACTACAGCTTGCCCCTCTCATCTTCTAACTTTGCTCTTTAGCTCCCAAAGCAGCAACTATTGACCTATTTTTTACTCCCCAAGCCTGGACAAATTACATGTTTGATAGGTATAACTATTGTTTTTTTCAACTCTGCTTTGGTTTTATTCTTGCTCACCTGTCTTAAACACCAGAATTGGTCCCTTCCTTCAGTTAGCTAAATGCATCTAGCATTTTAGGGTTGCTGATAATAACCCGTACCTTAAATGCATTTTAAGGTTGCCGATAATAACCTGTATCTGCTCAGGACCAGAGACGCAACATCTAGCCCTTGGCCAGGATCCTTTGAACATCTCTTAGTATGCCCAGCTCTCTTGGGTTAGGGCTAAGAAAAGTGGTACCTGTGTATGAAGAGGCCTCATTCTGGCTCTCATCTGGGGCCCACTTCCCTTGTGACACAAAAAGCCCTCCCTTTTGTGGACATATATTGTGATGTGATGCTGTTTGCTATAGTTTTGGGAAAGAAATTCATGGAGGTGGTGTAAAATTCAAGGGAGAGATTACTGGTCCTCAGATGGGAAAGCACCCAAATTCCATCATTGGATTAGAGAAAAGTCACTACATGATTATTTATTCTGCAGGTTTATCCTGCTATAATAAATACCAAGGCTTAGTCAATAGCTTTGCTCAAAATAAACTAACAGAGCCAGGCTTGGGAGCTCCATCATCGAATCTGCCCCAACCTAAGAATTCTCTTTCTGTAGGTACCACCTACTCCTTCCTAACTGCTAGACAAGTAGACACAACCATCAAAACACTCATTCTTGTCCTTCTTGCCAGAACACCTAAATATATAATGAGAAAGAGAGACGTGCAGCTCACCGGTGTCAGGTATATGCTCTGGCCAACCCAGGTGGTTCAGTCCCATTGGGGCACTCTGGGAGAGCAGATGGCTTCTTCTAGGGAGATGCAGAGACTCTGGAGAGGTGATAATTGTCTTCCTCCAACACTGGAAGAGGAGGAAAGAGGCAGAGGGTAAATAAACAAAACAGATGGTAGGCTGTCATTGCCACCTCCAATTGCCCAGGACCTTTCCTGTGAGCAGAGCCCCAGCCAAAATGTGCACAGTTCCAGAAGGTGCCGTTCACACCAAAATCCACCAGGAAAGCTTTTCCTGGAGTATGAACTATGTAACGTACATAGCCAGGTGTGCAACCTTGGCAGGAAAGGCTGCCATTCAGGAACTTGAAAGGAGGGCTGTTGATAAGGGCTTCAGGCATCTACATCACCCCCAGCAGTTAGCTAACAGCCTGATATTTTTCCCCAAAGCAAAACTGTTAGTTTCAGCCAAGGTCTATCCTTTTGGGGGGCAGTTGACTAAAATGTAATTCAAGAAGGCTTTGATATCTCAGACAGTAAGGATCAATGTTACCTGGGGTCTTGGGAAGGGAAAGATATTGTCCTTTCCTGTATCTCTTCATTGTCTGAGAAGATAATAGCCACCTCCCCACCTTTGTTACCTTCTAATAAGGTTATTGTAGTATCTTAAAAATCATGGTATGTATGCAAATAAATGCTTCCTTTTTGTCTTTTTGATTTATATCCCTTGTACACTTAAGCAAACAGTAATGCAGGAAGCATAAATATACAAAGGTTAGGATGGGGCATTGCATTCCACCCCATCGCTTCCATTTGAATGCCACTGAAGACCTTGGGCAGAATATACGAGTCAGCTATCAGAGAAAATCAATGGTAGCAGAGAGCCTGGGGAAGGAAGCCAGGTTTGGAGGTTACCCCAATCCTGTAGAGAAGTGAGTTTCCTATTTTGTTGTTCTTGTGTATCCTCCTGCCTGAATTCGGCAGCGCTTAAAACTGAACATAGGCAAAATGGCCTCCAAAGAAGCCCTGTCTGATCTGAAGAGGAAAGGGAGGTGCCTGAAGGTATGAGGGGATGGGGGAAATCCTGTGTATTCTGATGGTGTTTTCTTTCAACCCAACCCCAGAGGCAATCCAATTATAGTAATAAGATTCAGGCTCCAGACAGGCATCTGAAACCGGGAGGGAGAAGAATCCTCTCTGACCAGAGAGCTGTCATCCTAAGGCATGGGGGAGACCCTTGTCTCTTTTTAATTCGTCCTCCTGCCACTTGGCTCCAAAGGAAGAGTTGCAGGAAATGCATGGCAGAGTGGGAAAGTGAAAGCCCAGATTACTAGAAAAAAGACCAGGAAGGTGACATGATAACAACACCTTGACACTTTTTTAGTATTTCTGTAAATTCAGCCTAGTTTTGGTCAGGGCAAAGGCAGGGAATGGAACTACAAACCACAGGGGGAAAAGTTTTTTAATATTCAGACAATGAGAAAAACTGAATATGACTGCTTTATGTCCACCTCCAGATGGTTCCTGACCAAGGATGGTTCAATTTTGGATTTTTTGACTTTAAATAGGGCACAAATGATACACATTCCACAGAAACTTTACTTTGAATTTTGAATTTGGATCTTTTCTTAGGCTAGCAATATGTGGTACCATACTCTTCAGCAATGCTGGGCAGGGGCAGTGGCAGTCAGCTGCAGCTCCCAGTCAGCCATGTGAACACAAAAGGGAAAAACCAACAGACTACGGCATTCTGTGTTGCTGAGCTATGATGTACGATAGGTTAGGAGGATTAAGTGCACTTCTGACTTACGATGGATTTATCAGGACATGACCCCATCACAGGTAGAAGAGCAACTGTCTCCCACACCATCTTCCTGGAGCATTAGGAAGCATTTTCAAATTAGTCATTTCTTTTTTTTTTAAATTTTAAAAATTTTTTAGTTGTAGTTGGACACAATACCTTTATTTGTTTTTATGTGGTGCTGAGGATCGAACCCAGGGCCTCGCACTTGCTAGGAGAGCACGCTACCACTGAGCCACAACGCCAGCCCAAATTAGTCATTTCTTATTTTTTGTGCTACCTGTGTTCTAGAATTCTTCACAAACACTGAATTAGAAAATATTGAACTGTTGCTCCTAGGTGAAACAGTTCCTGTGGGTCTCTGGTCACATTTTATTTTTGAAGGGTGCTGGGGATTGAACCCAGGGCCTTGTGCATGCTAAGCATGTACTCTACCACTGAGTCACACACCAGCCTTTGGTCACATTTTTGTCAAACAAAATGCTATCTGCATTATCTAGGTTCATTTGTCAATAGCCTTGTAAAATAAACCAGTCTCATCAACATTTAAAACTTGATTTTCCACATAGAACTTGTCTTGTAACCAGGTTTTTGAATTAATATATATATTTTTTTACCGTATTCACAGGTTTTCTTTTAACCGCTGAATGACTCAACCAAGTGGAGAACTTACAGTAAAAAGAAAACACAACTACCTTGGAAATCTGAGAATCATATATTTGGTTTCTCTTCCCACCTAAATTTTGCTTTGTACCTTCTTTAAGAACTTTAAAAAAAAATTAGGTATTGATAAATTATAGTTGTATATATTTATGAGGTACAAAGTGATGTTACAATTTACATTTACACAGAATGTAGAATGATTAAATCAAGCTAATTAACCTGTCCATCACCTCAAATATTTAACATTTTTGTGATGAGAACATTTGAGATGTTCTTAGTGATGGATATTGAAATGTACAATACTCTATTATTCATCCTGTTATGCGATAAATCTAAAAAACAAGTCAAAGTTACTTTTCCTCTCTTATTGATGCTTTGTACCCTTTGATTAACATTTTCCCACTCCCTCCAACCCTACCTTTTCCGGTAACCACTATTTTATTCTCTGCTTCTATGAACTTCATTGTTTTAGATTGCACATGTAAGTGGTGTTTGCTTTTCTGCATTTGACTTATTTCACTTAGCGTAACGTTCTCCATTTTATCCATGATCTTGCAAATAACAAAAAAATTTCTTCCTTTTCTACAGCTGAATAGAATTCCATTATGTGTATGTACCATGTTTTCTTTATCCATTCATGTGTTTCTTTCCATTTTTTGACTACTATGAATAGTGTTGCAATGAACACAGGAGTATAGACGTGTCTCCAACATACTGATTTCAAATCTTTAGGGTAAATACTGAGAAGCGGGATTGCTGGATCATATGGTGTTTCTATGTTTAGTTTTTTGGAAAATGTTTTCCATAATGGCTATAGCTAATTTACATCCTCATCATCAGTATGCAAGGATTTCCATTTCTTCATATCCTTTCAATACTTCCTATCTTTCGACAATAATAAAACAAAACAGAAAACAGGGAGAATGTGAGGACTTGCAACCCTTGTCTACTGCTGGAAAAAAAAATCAAATAGAATGCTGGTGGGACTGCAATTGGTGCAGCCAATATGGAAAGCAGTATGGAGATTCCTTGGAAAACTGGGAATGGAGCCACCATTTGACCCAGCTATCCCTCTCCTCAGTCTATACCCCAAGGACTTAAAAACAGCATACTACATGGACACAGCCACATCAATGTTTATAGCAGCACAATTCACAATAGCTAAACTGTGGAACCAAGATGCCCTTCAGTAGATGAATGGATTAAAAAATGTGGCATATGTATACAATGGAATTTTACTCAACAATAAAAGAGAATAAAATCATGGCATCTGTAGGTAAATGGATGGCACTGGAGAAGATAATGCTAAGTGAAGTTAGCCAATCCCAAAAAAACAAATGGCGAATGTTTTCTCTGATATAAGGAGGCTGACTCATAGTGGGGTGGGGAGGGGGAACATGGGAGGAATAAATGAACTCTAGATAGGGCAGAAGGGTGGGAAGGAAAGGGAGCGGGCAGGGGATTAGCAAGGATGGTGGAATGTGATGGACATCATTATCCAAAGTACATGTGTGAAGACATGAATTGGTGTGAACATACTTTATATACAAACAGAGATATGAAAATTGTGTTCTATATGTGTAATAAGAATTGTGATGCATTCTGCTGTCATGTATTTAAAAAATAAAAGGAATTTTAAAAAATCAAATAGAGTGGTGGGTGGAAAACAGCTTGGTGATTTCTCTAAGTTAATCACAGAATTATGATATGACCTGGTAATTCTACTCCCAGATATATACCACAGTACAGAAAACATGTCTTCAAACAAAAGTTTTTATACTAGTCTTAGAAACACTATTAATAATGGACAAAAGGTACAAACAAACCAAATGTCTATTAATGGTGATGAATGAAAATGAAACAAATATGTCTCTCTAGTGGACTATGATTTAGCTACAAAAACTATTAAGTACTGATATATGCTAAGACATAGATGAACTGTAAAAACATACTAAGTGAAAAAAAAAAAAAAACAAGACACAAAAGGTCACGTATGGTGTGAGTCCATTTCTTTGAAATATCCAAAATGGGTAAATCCTTAGGGACAGAAGGCAGATTAATGCTTGTCAGGGCTTGGGGAGGAGAAATGGGTAGTGACTGCCTAATAGATGCAGTGTTTCCTTTTAGAGTAATGAAATGCCTTTGACCCAGATAGAGGTGATGCTCACAAACAAATGTTACTGAATTGTTCACTGTAACATGGTAAATTTTTATGTGAATTACATCTCAGTAAAAAAAGCTGGTACTCAAGGATGAGGAGAGACTCCGATGTATACTTCACAAGTACTGGATAATAAAAAAATTGCTATTGTATAAAGGGAAAGAATAAGACACAGAGTTAGAGTTGACTAAAGGTAAGATGTCAAGACTACAGTCACTTTTAATAGGCTGTAAGTTTTATGCAAACTATCATGGTGTCAGAAGGTCACTATGGACCAAAAAAAATGGGACAGTGTATCTGCATTTTATTAATTTAATTAAGACTCTTATCAAAATGTCATGCTCCTTTTTTGAATGCTTGAGTTCATGGTCATACTGTGCCCAACAGTATGTGACACAGGAGGCCTCTCACTAAATGGTAATTGCCATGGTGAGATCCTTGAGGGCAAGGACCCCCTCCTCCTCCCTGCCTTCTGGTCCTGCACAGGGCTGGCCACAGGAAGGGACACACATGGAGGATGAAGAGGGAACCCTGACCTTGGTGGTTGTAGGGAACATGTCTCTGTGAAGTGTCTCTTGCACTGGATCTAGAATGTCTCCAAAGACCTACGTGGTCCTCAGCTTGGTGTTACGAGAGGTGTGGGAGCATTTAAAAGGTGAGGCCTCGTGGGAGGTTTTAGGTTACTGGAGGAATGGCCTTAAAGGGGACTGTAGGACTCCCGTTTCTTTTTCTGTTTGGCCACCCTGATAATGAATAGGCTTCCTCTCTCATGTACTCCCACCATGATGTATTATGCTGCCATAGGTCCAAAACAATGGGCCAATTGGTCGTGGACTGAAACCTCCAAACCATTGAGCCAAAATAAACCTTCCTATTTTGTAAGCTGCTTGATGTCAGGTATCTGTTATAGTAACAGAAATCCGATTGACACATTCAGGTTCATGTTAGGTGGAGCCCCATTAGTGTGCTATCATCCAGTGGCTCAAGGGTGACAAGTTCAGTGCAGGTCAGAGTCAGGAAATGGCAGGCTACTACAGAGGCTGAGGGGACAGCAGGCCAGATGAGAGGATGCCTGGCTTACCTGGACTTTGTCTGGGTGCGCTATTCCTGTGCATGTCTTCCTTCTAGCCTGTATCTGCTTCTCCAGCTTCTTTCTCTGTGTCTTCTCCAGCCATAGGTCATCTAAACTGATGTGTGAGTGCTTTGCAACCCTTCTGGGCTGTGAAAAGGTCTCCCTGAGGATATCCTCTACAGAGATGGAGGGGAGGGTCCATGTCACCATCTCAGTGGTGAAGAATGGCCTCTGAGCTGGCTCCACGTGAAAAGCTTTCTGACCAGGAGAATAACTGAGCTTCTCACCTGCTGGTTCTTCCCATGACATGTGATTCTGGAGAGCAGAGGAGAAAGTATCAGAGATCAGAGCAAGAACATCTCAACTGGGGACACTTTCCTTTCTCTGCCCAGTTTCTTTTGGATAGAACACTATGTTTGGTTAATTCTCAGAATACTGATTCCAGTGAAATATTTTGTTCATAAAATATTGAAAATATGAAGATCAGGAACAAATCTTGTTTCTATTAAAATGTCTTCTTTCAAGGCTATTTCAAACAACTCAGTCTTCTGCTTTGCTTAAAGGCTTAAGTCTTGAAAGCAATTACTGAAGTTAGCATGCTCATTAGAAATACTTTTCGAAGGTCACCAGTTGTGGCCAAAGCTCTTACTTAAACAGTGTCCTCAGAGAAGAAAATTTAAGGAGCATATTCCAGACATTCATTGCTTGGTCTTGTTTGACACTAACATAGACTGAAGTGTGTGCATAGCCTCACCTCCCCCAAGCTGTCAACCCTGTCCCAGTTCATGATAATGAACTCAGGCACCCTCACCATTTCAAAATAAAACTTGTCTACACAGCAGAACAGCTAAACTTTATGTTGACATCTCCAGCATTTCTGTTCTTTGGAATCAACCCTTTTCCTAAGTCTAACCACTCTCCATCCTTACCCCAGGAGATATCTCCTTCATAGCAACAGCCTCTATAAAATGCCATCCCCAAAAACTTGGTGCATATTCTCTGGTGGAAACTCAGGTGGAATTTCTTTTAACTATTTAAAGAGTATGCCTTTAAAAAAGTATGTAAGTAAGTAGGTAGATAGATAAACAGGAAAATAGAGGAAGGAGGAGGAAAAGGCAGAGAAGGAGGAAGAGAAGGAGGGGGAGTGGAGAGGGAAGATGGATGGATGAATGAATAATTGTCACATAATGGTTTGGGGCACAGTCTGGGGACTGGGACCTTTTCAAGTTCTACAGATGATTATAACATAGAGCCAAGATTGAGAACCACTGATCTAATGTGTTTTTCTTCAGCATCCAAACATTGCTCTATGTTTAAAACGTACTTTATCCTAGTTTTCTCTCCCTAACTCCCCTATAGGCAATAAACTACTAGTTTATTATCCCCACCCAAAAATGGGGAATCAAAGCTCAGAGAGCAATGTTACTTATCTGAGGACACACAGCTCTGTGTGTAATTACTCTTTTGATTCTAGATCCCACATCTGTTCATCAGTCTATATGGTACACATTCCTGATGTTTCAGGTGGAAGTCACATCTATATAGCTCAGTCCCACCCAAAGTAATCAATACTAATTGAACATATTCTTTTGTTTTTCTTAATTTTTTTATCTTTTAAAAAAAAGTTATACATGACAGGAGAATGTATTTTGACATATCATACATACATGGAGTATAACTTCCCATTATTGTGGTTGTACATGATGTGGAATTACAGTTTGTATATTTACATGTGAACATACGAAAGTTGTGTCCAATTCATTCTTCTGTAAATGAGCATGTTCTTATGTACATCTCCCTGTTGTGCATTTTATGTACCCTATATACGAAATTTGGGTCCTCCTAAAGCCATTCAGAGAGTAAGCACCAGAAAGCCATGTGCAAGGAATGCCAACCACCCTCGGGCTAGGATGTCTACACCATTCATCTCACTACCACCAGCAATAAGCTCACTTCAAACTAGAAGAAAACTTACTACTTGGACTTTTTTTTTTTTTTTCCGGTACCGGGTATTGAACTCAGGGGTGCTTGACCACTGAGCCACATCCCCAGTCCTACTTTGTATTTTATTTGGAGACAGGGTCTCACTGAGTTGCTTAGTGCCTGGCAGTTGTTGAGGCTGACTTTGAACTTGTGATCCTCCTGCCTTGACCTCACGAGCCACTGGGATTATAGGTGTGCACCACCACACCCGGCCAGTTTTATTGCTTTTTATTTCCACAAAAATTATATAATCAGCTTGACAGTTTCTACAAAGAACAACTTCTGAAATGAGCGCTGGGATTTCAGGGTAAAGGTGTTTCTGACGTGAAATAAATGAAGAATCTCACAACAAGCATCAGGAAGGAAAAAAGAACAATATAAAAAGTAAAAATTTGGGTAAATGCAACATATATTCTATCTCCCCTCTTGAGATATCTAAATTATTTTTGATGTTGAAGCAAAATTATTACATTGTTTGATGTGGTTCTCAGTGTCATGAAGGAAGTATTTAAGAAAATTATAATCGGGGAAATGGAGGGATTTAAATCAAGATAAAGTCTCTATACTTCACTTAAATTGGCAAAATTTCAACATCAGTGGACTGTGCTAAGTTGTGTATATACAATATAATTCTTAGAGCAGGCCCTAAAACATATCTCTAAAAACATATACACTATAAATACCACTGATACATAAAAATGGAATTCTGAAAAATATCCAAATAACCTCCAGGACATCAAGAAAAAGAACACATCAATATTTACTTTAAATAGAAATGGTGAATAGACCGATTAAAAACAGAGAAGGGCAGAGTGCAGTAAAAAACATGACCTAACTATTCTGCCAATAAGAAACTCATTTCAAATATAATAGTTATAGATAGATTGAAAGTGAAAGGCTGGAACAAGAGATACCATATAAACAAAATGACAAAGCTCAAGTACAACAGGAACAAAAATAGAGGAAACAAATTTCTAGTATCAGGAATGAAATGGGAGAAATGCTCAGACCACGCAGACATTAAAGCAACTATACAAGATAACTGGAAATTCCTCTACATGTTTGAAAACTTAGGTAGAAAGAAAGAAATCCTCAAAAAGTGCAAACCACAGAACTCACCCAATATGAAATAGCTAATTTAATACTTATATCAAAGGATTTGATTTTGTAATTAAAGACGCCCCCCAAAGAAATCTGGCTTAGATGATTACCATTACAAATTTCTACAAAATTAAGAAAAAAAAAAAAACCCACAATGTTCTACATAATCTCTTCAAGAAAACAGAAGAGGAACACGTTCCAACTAATTATGTGAGGCTAACATGGACATACATGTAAAAACCCTTTAAATACCAGCTAGAAAGAATTGAACTATTAAAAATTGTATGTATCACAGCCAAGTGGAGTTTATGTAATATTGAAAACCAGTCAGTGTGATATGCTTAATAACAGGTCAAAGAAAAATCATGATCTTGTTAAGTGTTACAGGAAAAGCATTTAACAAAATCCAATACCTATTCATGAGTTAAAAAAAAAAAACTGTGAACAAACAAGAAAGACAGGATTTATTAATCTTGATAAAGAATATCTACAAAACCCTACAGCAAACATCATACCTAACAGGGAATGCATTCCCTCTAAGACTGGGGACAAGGAAAGGATGTCTGCTCCCAACCCTGCTCTTCAATATGGTATTTGACTTTTTAGCCTTTGCAATAAAATAAGAAGAGAAGAGAAAAGAAAAGGTCTACATTGCAAAGTAAGAGAGAAAACTGTTCCTTTTGTGGATAACATGATTGTCTATATAGATAATCCTAAGAACTATTCAAAAGAATTCATAGAATTCTTAAGTGAGTTCAGCAAGGTCACAGGATACAAGATAAATTGTATCTCTATACATTAGCAATAAGTATGCATAAGCCAAAATTTAAAATATAATACCATTTACAGTCATTTCAAAATTATGAAATAAGAATAAATCAAACAAAACATTTCCACAACTCATAAGCTGAAAACTGCAAAACACTGAAAAAAAAATCAAAGCTAACTAAATGGAGAGACATTGTTTTCATGGATTGGAAAACTCAACATAGTAAAGATGTCCATTATCTCTCAATTGATATACTAATTTAACTCAATTCCTATCAAAATATGAACAATAGTATTGATATAGATTTTCTAAAATATATATGGAAATGCAAAGGAATTAGAATAAAGTCATTTTGAGAAAGAAAACAGGGGAATCACTCTACTCAATTTTAAGACATACAGTAATAAATACTGTGGAATTGGAGAAATGCTAGACACATAGATCAATTCAAGAAAATTAAAAAGTAAGGTTGAGTGCAGTGGTGCACCTCTGTAATCCCAGTGACTTAGGAGGCTGAGGTAGGAGGATCGTGAGTGGGAAGACAGTCACAGTAACTTAGCAAGACCCTCTCTCAAAATAAAAAAGGCTAGGGGTATAGCTCAGTGACAAAGTGTCCCTGGGTTCAATTTCCAACATACATTCATGTGTGCATGTAAACACACACACGCACACACAATAACCAATAAATAGAGCCACATAAATTCTGGTAGGTGATCTGTGACAGAGAAGTACAAGCAGTTCATTGGAGGAAGGAGAGTCTTCTCCATAAACGGTGCTGAAGCAATTGAATATTTACAGGCAGAGAAATGTACCTCATCCTAAACTTTAAATCTTAATAAAAAAAAGACTAGCTCAAAATAAAATCATTTAATGTAAAAATGGAAGAAAACATAGGAGAAATGTTTGGGACCTAGGGGTTGGTGAGAATTCTTAGACATTGCCCCAAAACATGTTCCATAAAAAGAAAAAACTAAAAAATTGGACTTCTTCAAAATTAAAAAGTTGTCCTTGTTAAAAGAATGAAAAGACAACCTGCAGACAGGAGCTTGTCCAGGTACTTTCTCTAGTACTTAAAAATCACATAACTGATAAAGGATTTGAATATAGATATAAAAGAACTTTAAAAACTCAACTGTTAAACAGTAACAATGCAATTAGAAAATAGGCAAAACACAGGGAGAGAGATTTCAATGAAGAAGGTGTACGTATGGCAAATAAGAACATGAAAAAATGTTCAACACCACAAGCTCTTAGAGAAATGCAAATTAAGACCAAAATGAGATATCAGTACACATTTATTAGAGTGGGTAAAATGAAAGACTGAGATAATCCAAATGCTGATGAAGATGCAGAGAACGGGACCTCCCTTTCACTGATGATGGAAATATGAAATGATACAGCCTCTATGGAAAATGCTTTGACAGTTTCTTTTATAACTGAACATACACTTGCCCTATGACCTGAAAATCGTACTGCTGGGCATTTTCCCTAGAGAAATGAAAAAGTCTGTCCACCCCAAAACCTGGGCATGCATGTTCATGGGAGCGTTATTTGTGATAGTTCAAACCTGAACACAGCACAGATGCCCTGCAGGGGGCACTTGGTGATGCTGTACCATGGGATACTATTCAGAAACAGAAAGGAACTACTGACACAATAGCAACTCAGGGGAAGTTCAAGGGACTTATGCTGAGTAAGCAAAATGATCTCATGGGGCTGGGGATATAGCTCTGTTAGTAGAGTGCTTGCCTCGCATGCACAAGGCCCTGGGTTCAGTCCCCAGCAACACACACACACACACACACACACACACACACAAAGAAAACTCAAAAAACACATTTTTTAAATGACAGAATCATAGATTAGTGAGTGGTCAGGGCAGGAGAGGGAGGGTGTGATGGCATCTAGCAGAAGGGTGATAGAACTGTCTCGCTTATGATGGTCATTATGTGAATCTGTGCATGGGAGAAAACAGCAGCAACATGGATATGGTTTAAGCATCCCTAATATGAAAATCCAGAATCCAAATATTTCACCCACCCACCCCCACCAAATTGAAATCTGAAACACTATGTTTCCAGGCTTTTTTTTTTTTTTTTTTTTTGGTACTGGGGATTAAACTCAGAGGCACTCAACCACTGAGCCACATCCCCAATCCTATTTTGTATTTCATTTAGAGACAGAGTCTCACTAAGTTGCTTAGTGCCTCGCCATTGCTGAGGCTGGCTTTGAATTCATGATCCTTCTCTCCACAACACCACATGACACCCCCCCCCCCCCCCCCAATCCACTGGGATTACAGGTGTGTGCCACACAGAGCCCGGCCCAGGCATTTGGGATAAATTAAGATACTCAAGTCATTCACACATTCTACCCATGTCAATCCACTGGCTTTGATATTTTTCTGTAGTCGTAGGAGACTAGTTCCCAGGAGATTTTTCTGTAAGTCTTATATGGCAAGTGTAAGGTTCAGGGAAGGGAGTTTCTACATGCACGTGATTACAAGACTATTGAGAAAATATAGACTGTCATTCACTAGGATGTAGACACCAGTTAGTGGGGACTACAGTGGAATGCTGAGGAAACGAAGAGGGGACAGGGATAGCATTTATGACAAAACAACCTAAGTGACATCCTGTTCATATCAAATTGTGTGTTTTTGTTTAAGCATGTATATATAAAAGGAACTTCTTATAAAATGATAGATACCAAATGTTATGCTGATTACCAGATAATAGAAGGTTTCCATGAAATTTTAAAATATTTTCTGTTTTTTAATGGTTCTAGAACTCCTTAAAATGAGTACATATTACTCTCATAATCAGAAAAATCTATTTTTATTATTGAAAAATTTACAAGAAAAGTGAACAATGAAAAAGTAAAAGTGGGGCTGGGATTGTGGCTCAGTGGTAGAGCACGCGTGAGGCCCTGGGTTCGATCCTCAGCACCACATAAAAATGAGTAGATAAAATAAAGGTATTGTGTTCAACTACTTCTAAACAATATTTTTTTTTAAAAAAAGAAAAAGTAAAAGGGGTGAAAGTAAATTGAAGAAATGGAAAGGAAACCAGCCTTGTGCACAAGGAGCTCAAGCATCCTGAGCAATGTAATCCAGTCACAGGAGACCTAACCTATCCCCTTGAGATGGGCATTAATCCTTTCTGAAGGTGGCACTTCCAGTCACCTAATTACCTCCCACCAGGTCCCACCTCTTCCCCAAAACTAAAACAAAAAATGAAGATGGAATGTAGAAAAGATAAGAATATTAGCGCCTCATTCAAGAACAATCTCTAACTAACAGGAGTTTCAGAGAAGAAGGATAGAAGGAAAATGCACATTTTCCCTGGTTAGGAGTCTCTAGTTTGCGAGGACACCTTGAATGTTTAGCACATATATATATTTTTTAATTCTAATTTGTTATATACGACAGCAGAATGCATTACAATTCGTGTTATACATATAGAGCACAATTTTTCATATCTCTGGTTGTACACAAAGTAGAGTTGCACCATTTGTGTCTTCATATTTAGGGTAATGATGTCCATCTCATTCCATCCCCATGATCTTTCCTACCCCCACGGCCCCTCTCTTCCCTTCCCTCCCCTTTTCGAGAGTTTACCTAATCCTCCCATGTCCCCTCACCCTCCCCCCATTATGAATCAGCATCCTTATATCAGAGAAAACATTTGGCATTTGTTTTTTGGGGGTTGGCTAACTTCACTTAGCATTATATTCTCCAACTCCATCCATTTATCTGCAAATGCCATGATTTTATTCTCTATTAATGCTGAATAGTATTTCATTGTGTATATATACCACATTTTCTTTAATCCATTCATCAACTAATGGGCATCTAAGTTGGTTCCACAGTAGCACAATAAATTAAAAAAAAAAACCCTCACATTTCATTATCACTACAAAATCTGAGAAAACCAGGGATAAAAGAGAGGCCTTTAAAAGCTTCTAAAGTTAAAAAAAAAAAAAGTCATGGACTGCTTGCTCACAGCTGTGTTTAATTCTAGAAGATGGTGGAGAAATGCTGCTATGGTGTGGATGTAGTTTGTCCCCAAGGGTGCATATGCTGGAAGCTTGGTTTCTAATGTAATGGTGTTGAGGTGCTAGAACCTCTAAGAGGTGGGACCTGGTGGGAAGTAATTAAGTGACTGGAAGTGCCACCTTCAGAAAGGATTAATGCCCATCTCAAGGGGATAGGTTAGGTCTCCTGTGACTGGATTACATTGCTCAGGATGCTTGAGCTCCTTGTGCACAAGGCTGGTTTCCTTTCCATTTCTCCACCAGGTTGTGAGGCAGCTAGGTACCCCAATGGATGCCAGTATCATGAATCATGCTGGGTAAATTTCTTAGCTTCAAGTATTCTATTATTGCAATATAAACAGAGAAACACAAATACCTTCAAGACTTTGAAGGATGATTTTATCAGAATTCTACATGAAACCCAATTGTCAGATATAAAGATCTTTAAAAAACACATGCAAGACATGCAAGGACTCAAACATACCTCTTATGTACCTTTTTCTTAGGATGCTATTGGGGAATGTGCTTGAACACAATGAAGCAGTGAATGGAGACTAAGGAAGACACAGTATTGAAGAAACAAGAAATCAGGGAAGAATATTTGCACAAAACTCCTGGAGAACAATTGGTCCAAATTACAGCAGAAGGTCAGAGGGTTCTGGGAAGAGGGTCTCTTGGAGAAAGGGAAGACCTAACGGATACTGCCATGTTTGAACATTTGTAAAGTGGCTTATAATCATGTGATAAAGAGGTAAATCCAATTTAAGGATAGAGGTACAGAAAATCACATAGGAAAATCCAACAGTTATTAAAAAGCAAAAGAGGGGCTGGGGTTGTGGCTCAGTGATAGAGCGCTCGCCTAGCATGTGCGAGGCCCTGGGTTCGATTCTCAGCACCATATAAAAATAAATAAACAAAATAAAGGTATTGTGTACAACTAAAAAATAAATTTAAAAAAAAGCAAAATAAATGTCATGATTGTCCACTACTTGGCTTTACAGAGAAAATATTTGGTACACAAAGTGATATAAACATTTGTTACTGACTTAACCATATACTGGGAAAAATATATTATGAGGATAAAATGGACAGAGGAAATTTTGGACTTGGAGACGGACTAGATTACAAAATGTCAAACCTTCATCCATCACCACTGGAAGTTAATATTTTCAAACAATAAATCAAAACAGTGGTTTAAAATTACTATTTAAACCTTGGTTATCTGGGAAGGGTTTACCGTTTTTTGTTTTTGTTTTTTTTTCCTGTAGGCATTTTCTAATGCCTCACCACTCCTTTTGAGGAGGAGGACCTGAAGCTTTCACACCCAAGCCCAAGTTCATGAGAAACACAGAACCTCAGTTCCCTGCACAACAGAACCAGAATTGCATTTCACCAGATCCCAGGGGATTTAAAGGCACTTTAAATTTAGAAGCATTATTCTACTGCCATTTGGTTTTACAACTATGTGCATGCATAATTTTGGTAAATGTTTTAAAGTAAAGACCAAATCAAGGGCAGGGGCAGTTTAAGGCATTCTGGGAGCTTATTAGAAGGGTATTCAAGTTAGTGTTATTGTTTTTAATGGCAAAAAATTGTAAACAACCTAAATGTTCAAAACAATACAGAACTAGTTAACATTATGGTCATACTTATGAATAAATTCATGCAACCATCAAACTAATTATATAAATTAGTTTATTTCTAATTAAACTTTTTGGATAAAATCGTACATAAATGTGCAGTTGTAAAAGATAACAGAGAATCAGCATACCTTGTGGTTATTTATATGTGTGTATGTATATTTAGTTCTGTTAACTCTATCCTGTATCTACCACCACAGTTAAGAAAAGCTTCATCATCATAGCCTACCTGTGGTGCCCTCTTCTAACCACACCCACCTTCTGATTTTGAGAATGTTATATAAATAGAATCATACACTATGTGATCTCTGGGATGGGCTTCTTTTTTTTCTCACCCTGTCTAACTATCTTGAGATTCATCCAGATTTGTTGTGTGTATAAGATATTTCATTATTTGTTCATGCTGAGTACTATTTCATGGTATAGATGTGCCAATTTGTTTATCCATCCATCCACTGAAGGACATATGGGTTGTTTCCAGTGTGGTGCTATTATGAATAAAAATGGCTACAGATATTTACAATAGATCTATGTATAAACTAAATCTTATTTCCCTGAGGTAAATGCCCCAGAGTGAAGTTGCTGGGTCATTTGGTTAACACTGGTTTACTATTATAAGAAACTGCCAGCTCTTTCCCCAGAGTACCTGTACTGTTTTACATCCCCACCAGAAATACACAGATTCCTTTCTCTGAATCCTTGCCACTGTTTGGGGTTGTCATTAGTTATTTATTTTAACAATTCAATTTTTAAAAAAAATTTTAAAAACCTCTTGTCATATGATTATCTGCAGTCTACATCTCCTCTTTTATAAATGTCTTTTGCCTATCTTCTAATTGGATTGTTTTATTTTTGTTGTTGAGTTTTGAGTGTTCTTTACATAGTTTAGGTACTATCCTATTATTGAATATATGGTTTGCAAATAAATTCTTCTAGCTTTTCTTTCATTCTCCTACCAGGCTCCTTTTAGAATAAAAGTTGTTTTTCTTTTAAAGTGGTGAAGTCCTTTGGGGGAAAGAAACTGTTCCATGTCTTGATTATGGTTATGATTTCATGACTATATATTTTTCAGAACTCATCCAACTGTCCAATCTAAGATGGTAAATTTGGCTAATACAAATTACACTTAGAAAAACCTAACATCTAAAAATTAATAAAGAAATCCATTCATTAGTAAATTAATCAAATTACTTAAATCAGCTGATACTTTTTTTTCAAATTATAAAAATTGAAATTATTTAAAAAATGTCCAATAAAAATTTGGTATTTGTCATGATAAAAAAAATAAAGTGGTGAAGTTCACTTTATTCATTTTCCACTTATGAATATGCTTTGGAGATGTCATGTCTAAAAGCTCTTTATCATGCTCCAGATCCCAAATGTTTTCTCTTCTAAAAGTTTTAGAATGTCATAGCATTTTATATTTTGTTCTGTGCTTAGTTGTAACTTTTGAGGTAATTTTTTAATGAAGTGGGAGATTTAGGTCAAGATTTTTCTTTCTGCTTACAGGTGTCCAAATGCTCCAATGTTATTTGTTGAAAAGACTGTCCTTCCTCCGTTGAATTGACTGTGCACTTAAAAGCAGTTTTGTACATTTGGATGGGTCAATTTTGAGAGGCATCTATTCTTTTCCATTGATTTATGTGTCTGTCCCTTCCCCAAAAACATTCTGCTTTGACTAACTACTAAATAGGCCTTAAATTAATATTTGGTAGAGATTCTGCTCACTTTTTCTTTTATAAAATTGTTTTAGCTATTCCAGGGCCTGTGCCTCTCCACATAAATTTTAGAATACTAAAATGGATTTTTAAAGGCTAGAATATGTTCACAATGTGTTCTCTCTCCCCTCTCCACCTTTCTCCATTAAGATCTCTAAGTAGAAATAACCCTTGGATCCTTACTGTTGAAGTCAGAGAAGGCTAAGTGTGGAGAACAGGAAAGCTATCTAGCATTCATTCATCAAGTTGATTGACATTATACATAGCAGAGACCTATGAGACCACCTAGTCCAACCCTTGATAGATAGGAAGCTGAGTCCCAGTGTGGGCTCACTTCATGGATAGGGTCAGGAAGTGACAGAGTGGGCATTAAAGCACTCCCTGCTCTTCTCCAATTCTGCTGCTGACCTCACCCAGTCATAGTTATTTCTATCCTGTCCCCTTCTTGATCTTAGACTCCTTTATAAGCGCTCATAGCAAGAGGCAAAAATGCAAGTATATGCCTACAGAAGATCCAGAGCCTGCTTCCCCTGGAATCAAAGGCTCCCCTGCTCCCAAACCTGAAATTCTAAGGGGAAGAAATCTCTAACTGCAAACAGCATCCTGAGGACTGCATGGTGCTGATCTGTCACATAAATATGCACCAAAATGTCAAGGTCTTGCAGTTTTGAGGTGAAACTGTGGAGGGCTAAATTCTATGGCAACCTGTGAGGGAAAAATCTTGTCAAGATGGTATCTAGGCAGGTACGGTGACTGTAATCCTAGGGACTGAGGCAGGAGGATTTCAAGTTCTAGGCCAGCCTGGGCAACTTAGCAAGATCCTGTCTCAAAATAAAAAGGGCGGGAATGTAGCTCAGTGGTAATGTTCCCCAGTATCAGAAAAAAAGAATAATAATGCATGTAAAGGGTAATGGAGGAGCTGCTTGCCTAGCATATACAAGGCCTAGCATATACTACCCCCTAACGCCCCTAAAAATCCAAGCCACCAATGGGGATGGATGAGACAATTTTTCCACTTCACTGAAATGCTGGGCTGGGCCTTAATCAGCCCACCTGTATATGTACCTCAGCACTGCAGGCTCGGTTCAAATGTCAGAACCCAGACTTCCAAGTTTAGGGAGCCCCACCCTCAGACCACTTCACACTGTATCCCATTAATCTTTGCAATTTTTAAAGTACACTCTTAGTTTACTATAGTCCTTATCAATATCTGAAATGGTCCCATTTGCTCACTTATTTACTGTCCCACTCACCACCCCTGACTTGAGGACAGAGTTCTTTCTGTATTATTTAACACTGTAACCACAGGACCAAGAATATCACCTGGTGCATTGGTGATGAGTAAACAGTGATCAAATTAAAGAGTAGCAAGGCACAAAGCCCTGACTGAGTTAAAAGATAAGCCATGTAGACTGCAGCATATATTTGTAGTAGATTTAGCCAACAATGGAATTGCATCCAGAATATATACCATTGGTAAGAAAAAGATGACCCCCACAGACAAATGGACAAGAGACGAGGACAGATATGTCCCATAAGAAAGGATCTATAGCATCAACAGCAGGGGTTTGATCCCCTGCACCATAGGTCAATAAATGTATAAAAGGTTTCTAGCCTCTTTAGAGATATGGAAATGCAAATTGAGACCATAAGGAGTGGCTGAAATTAAAATGACTGACACTATCAATTAAGTGTTAATGAGAATGTGAAGCAAAGGAAAATTCCAATAAAAGAGTGTAAATTTATATAATCACTTTGGAAAAATAACTTGACAGTCAGAATGGCTGTCATCAAGAATACAAAAACAATAAATGCTGGTGAGGAAGTGGGGGGAAAGGAACCCTTATACACTGTTGGTAGAAATGTAAATTTGTGCAGCCACTATGGAAATCAATATGGAAGTGCCTCAAAAAGACTAAAAGTAGAACTACCATATGATCCAGCTATACTATTCCTTAGTATATAGCAGAAGGAGTTAATATCAGCATACTATCTACCTGCACACCCATGTTTACTGTGGCACAATTCACAATAGCTAAGTTTTGGAATCAGCCAAGGTGCCCATCAACAATGAATGATAAGGAAAATGTTGTTTATATACACTATGTTATAAAACTACAAGGAAGTTTGAAGAAATGTCATCTTTAAGAGTATGGATGGGACAGGAGATCATAATGTTAAGTAAAATAAGTCAAACACAGAAATACAAGTATCACGTTTCCCCTATATATATGAAATCGAAGAGGGGGAAAGATGTGAAAGTAGCAGAGAAACTATTACAGAAAAGGAATGGGATGGGGTGGAGGAGGACAATGAGGGGTAGATATGAGTAAAGTATGTTATTTGCATGTATGAATATGGCACAATAAAACCCATTATTCTGTATAATTAAAGTGCAATAATAAAAATGATAATTTGACAGTATCTAGTAAAGCTGAAGGTAGGTGTCCCCCAAGGATCCAATAGGAAGGCAGGGACATGTGCCCAGGTGGCCTAGGCTGGAGGCAATCCCCAAGTCCATTAACAAATGACTGAGAAATTTAGCACTGTGTTATGCTGAATCAGAGCAATCCTATGTAATGATGAAAATGAAAGGGCTTTAGATACACAGCACACAGGATGAGTCTTAACGTCATTAGAGCAAAAGAAGACAGACAAAATAGCATGAGTAAGGCCTGAAGGAATGCATGAAGTTTCATTTAGATACAGCTCAAAAACAGGCCCCAAACACCCTACACTGTTTCAGGTACAAAATTAGAAGGTAAAATTATAACAAAAGGTGGTATATACCATAAAATTTTGCTTATGGGTTAGGGCCACAGAGGAAGAATTCAGTTTTGAATAGGAAGCTGGGTGGGTAGTATGATGTTTCTTAACCTGGATGAAAGTTACTCTGTATTTCTTTATACCAATATGTGTCTACACATTTACCTTATTGTTTTCTGTATGACTTCTTTGTTTCTCAACCTAAAAGCACTTTAAGAAACAAATTGCAGTGTGTAAAATCATGGAAAATTAAAACCTCTACAGATGGTACAATCACTACCCTGTTAAATATGTAAAACTTATTTATAGAAAAAAAGCTGGCAAGATATTAAGAATGGTTATTTTAAGATATTGAAATCAAAGCACTGCTGTTCCTTAAGACCACTGTGGAAAAAAGAAACAAAAAACGGGAATGCTCACCAAAGTCCAAATCACAGCCTGCTCTCCCAGGAGCATCCACAAGATGGAGCAGTCTTATCTCCAAGTGGAGTTTCCCGTTCCCTTGCTGCCCAAAGTTCAACTGGTGACAGCCAAATTTTCAGTCTCTCTCCTTCCCTTTCTCTAACTTCTTTTTCCCTGTGCACCTGCTCTTCTCTCTCTCTTTTTTTTTTTTTTGGTTCTGATGGACAAACACGCCAGGCCTTCATCTTCTAAGATTTGAAAGGGGTAGAGGAATAGGAACCAAAATTTATTGAGTGCTTGCTTCATGTGCTCTCTTTGCTGTGCCCTTCATTCACCATTTCACTGCTTGTTGAAATGGAAGTTGTCCAGGTGTTTGTCTGAGATGCAGCCAACTCACTCCAGCCTATACATGAGCACTGCTGAACACAGGGATAGCCTCTGGAATGTGTTTTCCTCATCAGGTGTGTGTGTGTGCTCATGTGTTATGTGCACATATATCCACACAGACATATATGTGTCTTATCAGCTTGTTATTAAAGTACTATAGTCTTGTTTGACTACTTTCTTGTGCTTGATTTTATTCTGAAAGAGCTAACACTGTAATGTCTTTTCATTTTTAATTCAAGTTCTCTACATATTTCAGATAATTAAAACTTTTAAATGTCAATAAGCAACTAAATTGGAGGGGTGTCAGGAAAATGGACACCTGTATACTGCTATTGCTAACTTCCACTATCATTTAGGAAAGTAAACTGAAATCTATAAAAAACATATGTACTCTTTGTGTAATCTCTTATATCCTATAGAAATCAAAACATTTATACCTAAGGACACATGCTCAAGGATGCTCAGATTTATGTATAACTGTCCCAAACTAAAAATTAACTCAATAGAAGAATAATTAAATACTGCATAGTCATATTATGAAATGTTATACAATTTCTAAATAAAGAGCAATGTATATCAATTACTGGAAGGCCTGCTGTATTATTAAGCAAACAAGAAAGATGCAGTGTAATATGTGTATGTGACCCCGTGGTATAATGTCCTTCCTCAAAACTCCCCTTTAACTCCTATCTAGTACATAATAAAGATAAGATGTTAGCATACAGTGATGGTCAACTTTAGCCATCAACTTGATTGGATTAAAGAATACCTAAAGAATTGGTAAGGCATTATTTCTGTATGTCTATGAGGGTGTTTCCAGAGAGATTGGCATGTGAATTTGAGTGAATAAAATGGGGGAAGATCCAGCCTCAGTTTGGGCTGCAGGCTGGAGAGAACAAAAACAGAAAAAGGGAGAACTGTTTTCTCTCTACTTCTCTCTCCATCTCTCTCTTTCTTTCTGTTGGAGCTAGGATACATTCTTCTCTTGACTGTGAACATCAGACCTCCAAGCTCTCTGGTCTTTGAACTCCAGGACTTTCACCAGCTGGTTACCCTGTCCTCACTTACCTCATCTCAAGTCTTTGGTTGGGACTGAGAGGATCATTTGCTTTCCTAGTTCTCAGACTTTCAGACCTGGATGAGTCACACTACCAACATCCCAGGGTGCCAACTTGCAGAGAGTCTGTCCTGGGACTTCTCAGCCTCCATAATCGCATGAACCAGTCCCGTTATAATAAATCTTGACATCTTCCTCTCTATAACCTATTGGTTCTATTTCTATGTAGAACCCTGACTAATAACATAGGTAGTAACAGTGTTTCCTTCGTGGAATGAGATTGGAGGGTTTGCTGGGTACCCTTTCCCTTCTACATCTGTATTGTTTGACTTCTTTAAAAAACTTCAGTAATGGCAATTTTAAAAAATAAGTAACCCCAAAGGGGAGACCTTTAAGGTCAACTTCTTAATTCCTTACAATGAACAACTAGGCTCAGTAAGGTGAAGCAATATTCAATTGGTAGTGACTGCTATTGAATGTCTGCTGAATACGTCCCATGTCCTTGGAATCACTGCTGTGAAACCCTCCTGACCCAGCTCCTCCCTTCCCAGCAGCCTACCAGGTCTAAAGGCACTCTGTTCGAGCTATAGGAGTGCTCTCTGGGCCAGGAAACCCACTGGAGCCTGGAGCACTTTGGGTAGCTAACACCTGCAAAAGGGAAATCCCTACCCTCCTGTACTGCTGGTGTTTTCCTGCAGAATGTTAGGAGCCTGGGTGGGCACAGTGGGAAAGATCTTAGCACACTCTGTGGGAGACCAACCTCCACTAAGTTAACTCCCCTGCTGGGCGATGTGCGTCAGGCACCCATGCTGCTAGACTGCCCTGATCTTCTAGGGTTCAAGTGACTTGTGTCTTCCTGCCCAGGCTTATCTTCCTACAGCCCCATGGATGGAGTTATGCTCACCTGTTCCTTTGTAATATAACCCCTTGCCCTATTTAGGATACAATCTTCCATGGATGTGCCTTGTGTGTGTCCCCTTCTCTTACATCTGGTGTGGCCGAACCAGATGTCAGTCAACCTGCTGACAGTGGACATCATAAAGATAGACTCCTCAGACCCCTGAAACCTGACCCCTTGCCTCATTTGAATAGCTTCTCCTCAATAAAAGGGGTCAGCGCATGCTCTCGTTCTCTCTCTCTCTCTCTCTTTCTGCGGACCTTAAAGGTCAGAGGAGCCGTCACAGCCATCCCAAAGAAAAAGGTACTTGTGTCTCTTGTGTGGTTATTTTGCGCAGCCCAATTAGCCCAGTTCAACTGGAGTGACCCCTGAGCCTTTTAGTCACGAGAACAGAAACCCGGCAACACTCCATGCACTCGTGTTGCTGGCCTCACCCATGCCACTTTGTCTAAGGCATAAAGGAAGGCTAACTTTCATAGTCCAGAAAGTACTCGCTTTCTGGAATTTTCAGAAAGCTCCCTTCTTCTAAGGATAGTCAGACTCCTGAGAAATCCCACCCTTGTATGTCCCTTCCTATGCTTGACCCAGCACCATGCTACTTTCTCCTGGGTGGGAGGAAGCATTTACTTTGAGGAGCAGACCATTTAATTTTTCTAGAAATTTCAGATGCACCAACAATTCCTATCTCACTCTTTATAACAACATAAGTGCAATTGGATCAGGTATAAGATAAAAGTAAAAAAACAAAAACAAACAAACAAAAAAAAACCAAAACATTACACCACTGGTAGACAACACAGAGAACTTTTTTTTTTTTTTTAAATGTCCATTAGGATAAAAGCCTGCACCAACCACCCAGTAGAAAGTGGACAAACATTACAAATAGGCAGTTGAGAGAAAAGGAAATTCAGATGGCTTGAATTATACAGGAAAAAAAGAAACAAAATAAAATGATGGTGAAATACCAATTCCCACTTGTTGGTTTGGCAAATTTCAAGAAGTTGATCACTCACCCCATGAACTGGATGGGTGAGGGTCATCCAGTCCTTCTACTTTGTCTCTGCCCTCACTCTGGGAAGTAGCCCTTCTCCATTATGACTTTTTGTAAAAAAAGAAATTTCTCCATGTTGTTTTCTAGTACTTTAATGGATTTTTAATTGTATCTGATCCAACTGGATTTCCCTTCTTTTACCTTAAGAGGTAAATAAATGGGTTGGTGCCATTCACAGATCACTCACCTCACTCCCAGGAAGGTCTCTGAGGGACGGTGCTGTGCCCAGGCCATGGTGATGCTGGCTTCTTCTCCCACTCTCTTCCTTCTGGTCATCCTGGTTTAGTGTCTGCAGGGAAAGTAGGAGGCTTTTCCGGGTCTTGGGAGTCCTAGGCCTTTCAGGAGTCTCTGAATAGCTGTCCACTTCACTGTAGTTTCCAAGGGAAACCATGGAGATGGCGCTAGTTCTGCCGGGATAGCGGAGATTGGCCCTTTGCGCACCGGGCCTAGGACTCCGGGGCTTGGGGCTCATGGGTCTGCAGGGCATGCCTTGGTTTTCATAGGCCAAGCAACAGGCAGAGTTGCAGGGAAGGGTGTGGCCGATGCCCACCTGCTGGGCTCCAGGGCTTGGGGGACATGAAAGCCAGGACTCTTCAGGGAAGATACTGGAAGGGAGGTACCTGCTGCCTTCCTGGGGGACTGTGCATTTGATGGTTGGTTCACTTTTCCTCCTGTGTTCTGGGGAGACTAAATTGCTGGGTGACAAAGGTGCCGTGGGATGTGAGGGGGTCCAGCGATCCCTAAAAACATAGATTTCTGTGTCCTCTGTCCACTCCTCACAGTGGCTGCTGGTCACTGGTGGGGAAGGGCAGATGGGATCCAGGGTTTCTGGTCCTGGAAGCACACTGACCAAGGATGACCTTTTGGGGCCTTCCACGTCTTTGCTTTTCAGAAATGCAAGCCAGGAGGGCTGGCGTGGCCTGCTCTTTTCCTTTTCGCCCTTGAGAGAACCCGGAGAACACTCTTCGGCATTCTCTTTGTCTAAAACTTTTGACTCGAAAAAACTCGAAAAGGTCTTATGAGCTAAGGCCAGCCTCGCTCTGAGTGTTCGCTCTGGTGTCTTGAGTCTCTTTGTGTTGCAGCTTTCTGAAGAAGGTCTGTTACAAAGGTCGCCTGGTGTCCCCACAGGTCTCGCTTCTCCTAGCTCTGCGGCCCCTGCGGCCCCTTCGCTTCCGCGCAGGAGGATGGTCTCAGGAGAAGTGGAAATACCCACATGGCGCGGAGGTGTTGCAGCCCAACTGGGAGCATCTGCAGTAGTCTCAGCCTGCAGTTCCTCTGTGGCTAAAGAATCCCTGGTCTGGCTTTCCATAGTCAGGGCCAGGGCACCTGGTATGGCCTTTCCAGGGCTCTCTGTAGCCAAGGTCTTGCCTTTCCTGAAAGAGCTCACCTTGAGAAACGTCAGGCGTTTCGCGGGTTCCTGAGAGATCTTGCGGAGCCGGCGGCGGGGCGGTTCAGGACGCTGGAGCCCTGGGGTGCAGCTGGAGGCCTGGGAACAGGGACACTTCTCCACATCTCCAGCGGCCTCCAGGTCCCCTTCTGTGAAGACTGCCATGCTCTCCAAAACCTTCTCTCTGGGCTCCTCTTGCTTAAGTTCCGGGCTTGGTGGTCCCTGGCTCCTTGTAGGCTGGACGACCATGAGGTGGTGGGAGCCCCCATGTCCAGTGATTGGGCTCTTCCCAGACAGATTCTCTTCTGGAGATTCTGTCTCTACCGGATCAGCTCTGGAGATCAAAACTCTCCCAACCTCTGAGCCTTGAGCCAGATGTTGAAGAGCTCTATCACTGGTTGCTGATGTGGAAACTGCTGGCAAGTCACACTCATTATGGCAAATTGGTGTTTTCCAGCCCCTGGGAGGCTCACAGGGGGTCGTGCCAGCATTTAGGGAAAATTCTACTCTGTTTTCTAGAACATCAAGGGTATGTGATTCAGGAAGCAGGCCCTCTTTCCTCCTGGTGGCCTGCTGACCTTTCTGCTCCACAGCTATAATGATAAGGGTGCCCCTATCCCTAGAGTCTACTCCTGTTTGAGGTTCCTCCTGTAGGTGCCTGGGGCCATCCTCCAGCCCTTGGTCACACTCCTCATCTTCAGGGTCGCAGTGAGACACAGTGGCTTCTGGGAATTCGGAACTACCCTGCAAGTCATTTTTCTTGCATTTGATGTCTAGAATCATCACCTCTTGGGCCTCTTTTGCAATGTCTATTGCACTTGATTTCAGGGTGGTCTGTGGGGCATCTGAGCTAGCACTCCCTTCCCAGGAGCCCAGAAAGTGTCTATTCCACACCTGTGTCCCACCACTGCTACAGTGAGGTGGGGAGTTGGCTCTAGTTGGCAGTCTTTTCTCACTGAGAACAGACTTTGATGTGTAATTACTGGTTTGGTTTCCTGCCTGTACCAAAATGTCCTGCAGGTGTTTTTGTTTATTGCTCACGTCAGCAGGGCTTGGCGTGGAGCGAGTGCCTTGGGGTTCCTCAAGTCTGCTTTCTGGGCTGTGTCCCAGCTTGTACTCAGTGGGCCCAGGCCCTTCCTCTTGGCTGCCAAGCTTCACCAATTCTGAAGTGAGGCATGAACTGGCTGGGCATAACCTAGCATCCTGTCCCAACTGGTTTTCCTGTGGGAGACCTGCAGATGGTGTATCCTGAGAAGCCCTTTTCAAGCTATAACCACTGGATCTGTTATGATCCTGCAAATTGCTTTGAGAAGCTGGAAGTAAATCAGATAGCTGGGTGGGGGCAGGGGAAAGGGTGTTTTGTGTCCTTGAGTCTTCTTCTGGTTCTGTCCCTTCCTTCAGATGGGTCCCAACCTTTACATAGTTCCGCCTCACAGGATCCCCAGCGTAACTTAAGGGAAACCTTTCTATGGAATGGGCCTTGACCAGTGTGCTCATGTGCTGACCCCAGTGCCCTGTGGATGCCCTGCCCTTATCACCAATATCTTCTGGGGCACTTTGGTGATGCTTGGCATTTAAGGGGAAAGATGTCCCCAAAGAAGGCTGGCAGGAGGCATTCAAGTAGGGCTGGGCCCAGAGCAACTCTGCATCCACTTTGGGGCCCGAAGTACTTCCGTTCTTTATCCTGACCCCAAGGGGGATTGTGTTGTCCAGTGGGCCTATATGAGGTAGCACAGGTACCCTGGCCCTGCTCTGGATATGTGGCCAGCTCCTACCTAGTTCACAGTACTGGACAAAGTAGGGCCAGATCGTAGGGATGTCCAGATAGCTCTCAGACCTGGATTTCTGAGAAGCAACAGGGGGCTCCCAACAGTTTTGAATAGTCACACTCTGTACAGGTTGGGGACTGCTGTTGTCAGTGACACCTTGCAAGCAGCACTCTGCCAGCAAAAACTCTTGGTCCAGACTGGTCACACAGTCCCAGAGGGGTTTTTCCTCCTTGTCCCCAGCAACTATGGCCAAGGTGTGCACCTCATTTTTGTAAGATTCTTCCTTTAAGCCAGGGGACAAATCTAGTTCTTTCTTTGCATCAAGCTCAAAGACGCAAGTCGAATGTTGCTCCTGAAGAGATCTAGTTGCTGGGACATCAGGACACCGCCAACCTGCTTCTCTGTCAACAGAGACACCACTTGAAGGGAAGAAGATTCCGGCTGTGAGGTCAGGGGGCAGGGACTCTGTGTCAGAGGCACTTTCGAAGGGGTCGGTTTTTGTGTCTGATCGACTTTCACTCTGGTGGGACAGAGTCTCAAAGTCATCGTGGTCCGTTTCCTGGCTCCATCCTTGCTCCTCTGGTTCTGCAGGGGATAGGGGGAGCTGATTATCTTCAATCTCACCTTCAACTGGCAGGGGTGTGTCTGGCTCTGGAGTCTGGAAAGACAAGAAGAGAAGAATCAGAGATGAAGCCTGAGGACATCTGCACACATGTTTACACCATGCCTACCTTCACGGAAGGAGGAAGGCTTAGAAACATCTCATTAGTTTCCCAAGTGCCCCTAGGAAGGGAGGTATGTATGAAGAGCCACCTTTTATTAACATAGAAAACAAGTGATGAAGCCAAAGCCAAACCATAGGTAAAAATGTAGCACATAGTTTAAACAACCCTATTAAAAATCAGAATAGACTGAAGGAGCATGAGCCGTCTCAATAAATATAAATATATTGTATGAGTCATGGGGGAGAAGAATATTTAAGCCTAAATTTCCAGCAAGAAGGAACAAATTAATATGTTTGCATTGTGTTCTGTCTGTTCTAATGTAACCAGCTGGCTTACAAAGTTCTCCCACTTAAAACTGTTTTCTGATTTGGTTTCTACAGAAGCAAAAAACCTTGGGAACTAATGAGACTGCAAACACATTTTGAGATGTTAGAAATGCCCAAAGCAGCTTTGAAAAGTAGAGAACTGTGCAAGAACTTTGCAGAATTTCCTTCCCTGGTCACACATTTCTTAATCAACTTTTTGAGATATGAATTTTTTTTCTTCTTTTCTTTTTTTTTTTTTTTTTTGGTACTGGGGATTGAACTCAGGGGCACTCAACCATGGAGCCACATCCCCAGCCCTATTTTGTATTTTATTTAGAGATAGGGTCTCACTGAGTTGCTTAGTGTCTCGCCTTTGCTGAGGCTGGCTTTGAACTCACAATCCTTCTGTCTCAGCCTCTTGAGCTGCTGGATTTACAGGTGTGCGCCACCACACCTGGCTGAGGTATGAATTTCTGTATTTCCAAAATATTTCACAAAGCAGAAAGGATTTGTCAAAACAGATCCAATTTTGACAAATGTGTACATCTGTGTACTACCAATGTGAAGAATATCTATTTCCATTTTCCTCCCCCAAGTCCCTACCCCTTAACCTAGCCAATTCCTCACCCACCCCACTGCCTACCTCATCAATGACCTGCTTCCTACCACAATCTATATATGCCTGCTTCGGAGTTTCACATGGACACTATGTTTGGAGGCCTGGATTCCTTCTCTCAGGCATGATGGCTGTAGCCTGTCTCAGCACATACATGACTTCAATTAGGAGATAATGCTATGTACAACATTCAATTACGAACCTCCCCCAAATCTCCCAGGCCAGAAGTGGGGCAAGCACTGAGCCCTCTTACAGCCAAGACTCCTCCCAAATTTTGTGCTTTTCCAAGCATAGTTTTCCAGGACTTGTCATATGAGATTTCTCCAAGTAAAATTGCTTTCAATCCATCTTAACTCAGAGAAGGAAAATAAACACTGAAGTGTATGAAGTGTGAGGTTATTAATTAAGGGGCAAGGTGGGAAATCAGGAATAATATGATAATATGGTTTCAAATGTGTGAGAATCAGGAAGGACTTGGGAACAGAAAAGGAAACATTAAAAACCAAACCATTTGTACAGGAGGGCTGTGTAGTTGTTATGGGGTGTTCAAGAGAGAGAAGTGAGGGAAGCTAGGCTCTGCCAGGGGTCCGCTGCAGGAACTTTCCTGTGATCTCTGTGCACAGACTTGATCCTATATACCTCCCAAGTCAGGGTGAGAACAAGTGAGATGCAGTGTGAACACACCTCAGCACACACAGAAAACTGTGCAACAGGCAAAGTTTGTTTTGTTGCTGATGAAAAAACTGATAAGCCACTAGAGTGCTCATGCTAAGTGGCTTCTGCCTTTGAGAGCACTTCACACCTCTCATCTTGTCACATAGGTCATCTCTACAAGGACTGACCTTCTGTCTGTGGGACATCAGGGTGGTCCTTTCAACAATGCGGTAGCTTGATGTCACCTTTATAGATGCCTGTTGGCAACAGTACTCATACCCTGCAGGCCCAGAGAAGAGTGTAGAAATCACCACTTAGTACTTATATCTTAAGCTACATAAGATATATGTAGCTTGATGATGGCAGAATTAAAATTTGTCAATTGTCATTGTCCTACAACTTCCAGGAACAGTAGGAGCAATCATCTCATGGGAGCTGAATCGTACCCCCTCTACGATCACAGGTCTAATACACACCCTGCATCCTGGGAAGCCCCCTCATGTGGTAAGAGCTTCTCCAGAGCAGAACCAGAATGGAGAGGATGATCAACCAGAACACAGTTTGATCAAGACTCTTGTCCTCTGCCCCAATTCTTCCTCCCCTTAAACCTTCAGATCATGTCAATACCCCAAGACAGGGCTGAGATGCTGGATCTCATTTTGCCTCCTCCACGTGGCCTTATTAAAGTTCTTTTCCTGCTTCTCAGCATTACTGTTTCTGTTTGGTCCTTGGAGCCAGTGGCTTGACCTGGTTTTTTGGGATCCTGAAGCCAAGACTCTGGTAAGAATACTGATGAAGGTTTTTACTTTATTATCCCTAATATCCTCTTGCCTCACCTGTACCCCCCCACCCCAATCTTTATCTGTTTTCTATCACCATAGATCAAATTCACATTTTCTAAAATTTCATATGAAGCCATATAGCATGTATTATTTTTTGTTGGTCTTTTTCACTCTGCACTATTATTTTGAGATTTAGCTATGTTGTTGTATGGGTCAGTATCCATTCCTCTGCTGATGGACATCTGAGTTGTTCCTCCTTTTTTGGCTTTTCAAATAAAGCTGTAATGAACCTTTGTGCACAAGTCATTGTATGGACATGTGTGCTTTCATTTTTCTTGGAAAACACTGGGGAGTGGAAATGATGACGTTAGTGGTAGGGGTATATGTTTAACTGCTTAAGAAACTATTAGTGGGGCTGGGGTTGTGGCTCAGTGACAGAGTGCTTGCCTAGCATGTGGGAGGCACTGGGTTCAATCCTCAGCAACACATAAAAATGAAATAAAGGTATGTGTCCATCTACAACCAAAAACTATTTAAAAAAAAAAGAAAGAAAGAAACTACAAGTGGTTCTCTGTTCTCTCTTCACTCCCCCAGCTGCTCCATATTCTCAACACCTGGTGTGGCCAGTCTTATTCAGTGTAATAATTCTAGTGATTTGAAGTGGTGTATTCCTATAGTCTTAATTTGCATTTTCCTTATGATATAGGACATTGAACGTCTTTTTATATGCTTTGTTCTCATCTGGACATCTTCCTTGGTGAAGTTTCTATTCAATATTCTGCCCACTTTAAAAACTGAATTGTGTTTGTAAGTCTTTTGTTGGATATGTTTTGCCAACAATTTCTTCCCATCTATGGCTTGCCTTTTCATTTAATTACCAATGCCTTTTGAAGAGACCAAAGGTTTTTATTTTGATGAAGCCCAATTTTTGTATGTCAGTATGTGTGTGTTTGTTTGTGTGTCTGTGTGCGCGAGCGTGTTGGATTTAAAAAAACTCTTTCTAATCAAGGTCACTAAAATTTTTTTTAATCATTCCTTGTAGACTATGTTATGCAAAATAATACCCCTCTCACCAAAAGAGATTCATGTCCTGATTCCTGGGACCTGTGAATACTACCTATTATGGTAAAAGGGACTTTGCAAGTGGGATTAGGTTGAAGATTTCGAGATTATCCTGGATTGTCTGTGTGCATCTTTATACAGGAAAAACAGAAGAGTCAGAGAAGTAGATATGGCCAGAGTATGTGGTTAGTGGATTTATTTACTTAGTTATTTACTTATAATTAATTAATTATATTTTTTTGTTACCAGGAATTGATTGAACCCAGGGGGTCTAAACCACTGAGTCAAACCCCCAGCCCTTTTTTACTTTTTGAGACAGGGCTTCACTAAGTTGCTTAGAGCCACACTAAGTTGCTGAGGTTAGACTCAAACCTCAATTCTCTTGCCTCAGCTTCCCGAGCCTCTGGGATTATAGGCATATACCACCATGCCTGGCCATTTTTTATTGTTTAAATTTCATTTCATTTAAAAATTTTCATTGGTGTATTATAATTATACACAATAGTGGGATTTGTTGTTACTGCTAAAAGGTCAATGCTCCCTAATTTTAACTACAGAGTCAATGTAATCTTAATCAAAACTGCAGCAAATTTGCTTATATACATCAACTGACTCTAAAATTTTTATGGAGGGACAAAGAAACTAGAGTAGCTAAAACAATTTTTAAAAAGAACAAAGCTTGAACATCCTTAAGATTTACTGTAAAGCAACAGTAATTAAAGCAACTTGGAATCAATGAAAGGAGAGACAGATGGATTGTTAGAACATAAAAAAGAACCCCAAAATAGACCCACAGTGGATTTTTGACAAGGGTGCAAAGGCAAATCAATGAAGAAAGAATAGTCTTGTTAAGAAAGAGTGTTAGAATAACTGCATATCAGCATGCAAAAGGAATTAACACATAACTCACTCATATAAAAATGATTCAAATCTGATTATAAATTGAAGGATAAAACTTATAGAAAGGAGCATAGGAAAAGGAAGTATCAAGAACATGAAGAAAGAGCCTACATACGGGAGAAAATCTTGCTACCTGTACCTCAGATAGAACATTAATCTCTAGGATATATAAAGAACTCAAAAAACTTAACACTAAAAAAAAAAAAAACAAAAAAAAAACCAATCAATAAATAGGCTAAGGAACTGAACAGACACTTCACAGAAAAAGAAATATGAATGGTCAACAAATATATAAAAAGATGTTTATCATCTCTATCAATTAGAGAAATACAAATCAAAACTGCACTGAGATTTCATCTCACTCTAGACAGAATGGCAATCATCAAGAATACAAGTAACAATGCAAATGTTGGCGAGGATGTGGGGGAAAAGGTACACTCATACATTGCTGGTGGGACTGCAAATTGGTACAACCACTCTGGAAAGCAGTATGGAGATTCCTCACAAAACCTGGAATGGAACCACCTTTGACCCAGTTATCCCACTCCTTGGCATATACCCAAATGACTTAAAATCAGCATACTATAGTGACATGGCCACATCAATGTTCATAA